AGAAATCAATGACCTAACCTCATTATTGGTGCAGGGAGCACACCCAATAACATTGAACTCACTCACCCATCTCAAAAAATGAAAAATTCAACAAAAATAGAGCAATAATCACCATGAGGAGTACTATTCATCTAGCTGGGGAGTACAATTGAAGTTTCTGTACAAATGACGCTTTTTCCTCTGGTAATCAATTACAAGACCCCTGTAATTGATTACCAGAGTAAAAAGGATCATTTGTACAAAAACTTCAACTGTACTCCCCAGTTGGGAGAACTTGACTCCCCAGGGTTATTTTTATGCCCTTATGGGTGATATTTTTTCTAGTTTTTGCATGGATGTCTCATGTTGCTGATCATTGATGGTGTCAAGTGCATTAAAACACAATTTATCCCACTCAATTGTGGACAAAGTAGTTCATATAGGTTTTTAAACCAAGGTAGGTGAAGTCCATATAAGTGTTTGACTTGTGCTAGTAGAATCACATCACACCTTAATTATACTAGTATTTTACCTTGAATTGTGGACATTTTATAAATAAATAAAATAAATTTGAACAATATAAGAAACATGAGACAATAACTTGAAAGTAAACTTGTTTGGGAAGCTTATAAAAACGTTGTTTTTGGGACAGCGTAATAGATTACCACGACATGTGTTGGCTAAAATGCGGTAGCACTTCACCTACTTGCTGAAAACACCCAAATTGGGTTTTTCATCCACAATGAAGTGGGCAACAAGAAGAATGACCAAAAAGTTTCATCCATTAAGAAAATTTTAAAAAGGCACCCTTAAGGACACAACAATAGTGAGGGACTTCACCTACGTTCGTCCAAACACTCATATGGGTTCTTTCCTTTTAAGTGCAATGTATTATGATCTTCTCTATGCAATAAACAACACAACTGATGATTAAAATCACTCATCAATTACTTCAACAATTATTTGCACAAATTATCAGAATCATCAATTCAAATCAATTTCTCCATATTTATTATAATTGNATATATATATATATAATGACCCTAGAATATAAGAAATGTATTGGCAGAACCACGATTTTGTTACATTTTATTTTTCTTACACAATATAATAATATTTAACATGATTTATGATTATAGATAATATAAATTTTATAAAAGAATATACAAAATATTCTGGTTAGACAAAAGAAGTATAACTTAAATTGAACATGATCAATTTTTTTTCTAATTTGTTTAACATATATATCATTTAAAATGTTTTTAAGGTAACATTAATTTGAAGAGTGTTAGTGATGACTTTCCTCTCCATCCCTCAGGTAGAAACCGTGAGAATCCAATAAATATACATATAAATAACATTTTTTTTATTTTAGATATTTAAAAGTTAAAACTAGAGCGGTCAAAATGGGTACAACCGACGTGCCAACCATAAGGTTGTCTAGGATGAATACTCTTGCGGAAGATAAGTACCCTTAAAGTTAGAGCTTAGAATGCTTGGAGTTAAAGTCTTGACAAAATATATTCGGTTATGTAAGAATAGTTGGTGACCACCATAAGGTTGACATATATTTTGTGAAGAAGTGTTACAGAGTGTCTACAAGGAGTAGGATGGTGGATCGAAAGAAGCGGGACTATGACCCTCCTCGGCTAACATAATCGATATCCTCCTCGGCTAACATAGCCGATATCCTAGAAGCATAGACATAGATGTAATGGTAGTTTGCTGAGTTCAAAAAGAGAAGTGTTGAGGATATGGGTGCCTTAAGGAAAGAAAAATCCAAGTTGAGAAGGAAAGTCAAAGTTGAAGGGATAACTGATAAGTGGAAGGAGAAGGAAATCCTTGAGAATGCAAGGTGAGTGTAGAAATCTACGTATCATCTTAAAGTTGTTAACGACATTAAAGGGGAAAGTGACTACAATACTACCCTCAAAATTGGAGAAGCAATGAATAACTCCTTGGTAGTAGGAGGAAATTGATAACATCCTTTCATTGATGGTATTACTGATATGCCACTACCTACGCAATGGAAGGCTCTTACACTGGATCAATAGTAACATTGAAACGAATGAACATGTTGTTGTGAATGTCACTCAAGTCAGTCTATATTCGACTGACGATGTTGTTATGTGCAAGACCTTTCCTATAACCTTGAAAAGACTGACCGTAGATTGGTTTACCCGCCTACCCCCTACTCCATCGATTTCTTTTATACCTTAACGTTGTCTTTCATGATGTAATTTTCCACTAGTCGACACCATCATCTTACCTTCTTAGAATTCCTTAATGTCAAGTAAGAAAATGGAGAGTCTTTGCAAACCTTCATTGATAGGTTCAAACAAATATCCTTAAAGATCAAGAACCTTAATCCTGAAGTTGTTCTACACTATATGATCACAACACTAAGACCGAGACCTTTTATGGATGATATGTGCATGATGTTACCCGCAATTATGGATGAGTTAAGGCAATGAGCCGCTAAGTTTATGAAATTGGAGGAAATGAGAGAGTATAGGAAAAAGATTAGAGTGGAGTCCATGTGAGTTGAAAAGAAAGGAGTTGATCAAGACTCAACATAGAAAAGTGGTTTTTTTCCAGAGAAACACTCTTATATTTTGCGTGTTGGAGGAAGCTGCAGCCTAGTAAGGAGAGACGCTTTGATACCAAGCCCCTCTAAGGGGCACCATCAATACAATATTTGGGTGGATTTGCTAGAGAAGGATCATTGTCACAGTCAGGAAGCAACACCTTAGAGTCGTGTAGTCTGTTAATGTAATATGTAAAACCTATAACAAAAAAAGAATGTGTCACATTACTTTCACGGACGTTGAATTTCAAGGGATACACCCTGAGCAAGATGACCTTATGGTCATTGTTAAAATAGAATGACACAATTTCTCACACAAAGAGAAGGGGTGAATTGGTGAAGTGTAAAAACAAAAGCTTTTAAAGTCTTTTTCACAAAATGTGATGCCTTTACACTTTTCTTGAATCACAAGGTAAAGGATTAGCAATGCAGTGGAAACTTAATCGAATATGCAAAGAACTTAATCAAATGAATAAAAGAGAGTAGGGATCAAAAAATTCAAACGTTGTGTTTTTATACTGGTTCGACGAAGCCTACATCCAGTGCCCTTCCAACCATAGGAAGCAAAGGAACTATAAATATCAAGGTTTTTATAGAGACCTCATGTCAAAAATATAAAACACCTCTCTAACCCTCTATTCTAATATAAGCAGTAAACAACAAAACCAGCAGCAAGAACCTTTTCTGCTGTCTAACCCTTTGAAGCACCCTCAAAGTCAAGAATACCACCGTTCTTCTTCCTGTAATCACAACAGGGAAACCAAGTCAATCTTCAAAAGATTGCAAATTTTGATCACGCAGTAAACACCCAAATGTGCAGATTGATCAAACGTTTGAAACACAACAAATCCTGCTCCTCAACAAATCTCAGAATCCTTGATCACCATGGTCAATCTTGATTCTTGGAACTTTTCCCTACTCTGTAAGATCACACAACTTTCTGTAAAAATATGAAAGTGTTAGAATCACAAAAGTTCTTTACAGAATTCAAATCATCGTCAATTTATAGTTAAACACATATCAGACGCATTTTAATCGACTTTGCTACTAATATAATCAAATACACCATTCAATTATAACAGTTTAGCAACAATCACAACAATTAATTGAATGTACAATTAATGCAATTGGCTATCATTTAATGCTTGGTTAACACAATTAAAAATATGACCATTATGTTAGTCGAATACAAATCACATGCAATTGTTTAAGCAACAATACTTAGCACAATTTTGAAAACTTTTCTTCTTGAAAAATCTCATAGCACACTTGAAAAGATTTTGTGCAAACACACGAGTTTTAATCAATTCACCCTATAATGTAATCGACTTAAAACTGTTGTTTTGCCACATATTTAAAGTTCAACTAAAGTGCATGTGATTTTCCTTTTCCAAAAACATATGTCATGCATACACATATAAAATCACATATTTAACACAGTGATATGCAATGAACAACACAATCATGCTCTCATATATGCTCATACAAATTTAACACAGTAAAGAACAACATATAACATGTATGATGAGCCCATAATCGGGTTTTCTAGAGAAAAAGGTTGATATTAAGGAGTATATCGACCTACATACCACCTTCGAGAAAGGAAACTTGACGAAAAACATACCTATTTGGTATCTAGTGATAGATGTGAACACATCGTATAACATTTTGTTGGGACGATCATCGCTCAACCTGTTCGACTGACGATGTTGTTATGTGCAAGATGTGTTAAGCTCTAAACCTTGTTGGTCGTGCATTGTTGACCGAACAGGGTACAGATAGTGAAGAAGTTGTACACTAAGTTGGGTGGAAAAGTGTTGAACTACGCCAGCGCTTCCCCTTTTAAGGATATAGTGAAGGCCCTATACCACGCGAAATTGATCGCGGTATAAAAGACCATGGTGTTGACAAATATCGGTAGGTGCTTGTCGGGGTTAGTTGATCCATCATATTTCTTGAATACTAGAGGCATCCACCGCTCGGGTATGAACGCCTCCATGAATTTATTTTAGCATAAATCAACCCGGCCAAAACATAAACCATCTTATCTACAGGACTATCATTGCAACATGTTATCTACTTCTTCCGCCACTCAGTCATTCACAGGTACCTTATATCCTATCTCTTCATATCTCTCATATGATGCATTATCATCTCTTTATAAATCATATGTCCTTAATCTTTCCCAAGTTAGTGAACCTAAAACCTATAACCAAGCCATCAAACATGATTGTTCGAGAAATGCCATGGATCAAGAAATTGAAACTTTAGAAAATTCCAAAACTTAGGTTTTGACTGATCTACCTTATGGAAAATAACCTATCTTATGTAAAAATGGGTATACAAAATAAAGAGGCATGCTGATGAAAGTATTGAATGATACAAGGCAAGGTTAGTAGCCAAAGGTTACACACAACAACAAGGCTTAGATTACTTTGAGACTTTTTCACCTGTTNTGTCACGGCTTCAACACTAGTGGGAGTGAAATCGAAGCTCCCCAGCTTCTGCTTCAGTCTAGATATGTTCGTCCTGTTGAACACAAACCTCTTTGTGACAATGCTTTTTTGGCCCATCATGCCACGAATCATGTCCATTTCTATCTTCCTCGGCGGAAAAACCTGTGCGCCTTCTTCCGTTTGTGGTAGTATCGGTTTGTTGCCTCTGCAAAAATTCAAATTAATCACACAATATATTATAAAATAAACATTCAAATCTCAAGAACTGGGTATATAAGTTTATAAAATAGGTAGAAAGATTGGAATATGTGACCTTTATACCTTGATGTTGCAGCCCAAGCAGTGAGGAAGGATGCAGCTGTGGAAGCATCAGCGATCTTGTGTGAGAAGCAGACGCCAAGCGCAAAACCTCCACAAGTGAAGTGGTTGAAATGAACTGCCATGTTCCCAGTGAGAGTTTCCCTTGCAGAGTTGTAGGGATCGCATGGGAAAAGGTGGTTGATATGGTGAAGGTCAGGGTTTTTAAGAAGGCTTGAGAGTTCCATGAGGACTCTACAGTCGGTGAAAACAACGCCCTCATCGTTGCACTCAACGGTTGAGTTGACTCTGAAGGTTCCGCAAAAGGGATAATAGAGAGTGAGGACTTGTGATAAAGAAGCCTTCAATTAATGAGATATTGGTTTGTTGTGTGTGGCATCGGAAGCAGAGTAAAAGAGGAGAATAGGAACGTAAAATGGAGGAGCCAATTGATCGAGGAGAGAGAGTTTGAAAAGCTTATTGGATGTTGGAGAAGATGGCTTTATTGTCTCCTTAGATACAATCTCAGCTTTCACTTCCATTTCTCACAACACAAGCAGTTGCTTTGTATAATGACTCTCTCGAACTAATTCTTGCCTTTATATAGCCAAAAATCTTGCCTTAATCGTCTCTGTAGGTAAAATATAAATAATGTATTTTAAGAGCAAGAATGCTCACGAGAGTCTGAACGTAAGATATGAAACCGTGCACGTTAAAATATTGTATTAGGAAATTATGATAAATATCATTATATAATAAAAAAATAATTTAAAAGCCGTGTGGCTGGAAAAAAAAAGAGTATCAAGATATATATATA